CAAGAAGTGAAAGGAAGGCAGAGTGTGGACAGTAAAGCCAGCTTTTCCTCAAACTTAAAGTTTTCCTGTCGCTGCGTGCACGTGTGGTTCTGAAGTCGTACACGGAGGGCCACGTGTCTGCAAATGCACGCTCCAAAAATCGGAACTGATGCGCGGGAAGAATGGAATGCAACATCTAGGTGTCACCAGCATTTCCTGGCCACCACCCCACCCCGAGATCCACGGACAATGGAAACGGTGTAAAATTGAATTTTGTGTTAAACCAGCAGCACTTTGAATAATTCTTTTCAAATGTGTCCCTCCCTTACTGCCTGAGAGGTAGAACTGATGCTGTCAACCCATTTACGGAAGGGTAGACTGAGGCTCCAGTGGCTACGGTGTTGCCCACCAGGTTGAAAGAGCCGGCAGACAAAAGGAGTAGCTGGTTAAGCACAGGACTTCCGATTCCCGAATCCACTGCTCTTTCCGCAGCGTGGTGTGCAGCGGGAGGCTGGTTTGAATACAGACATTAAACAATGGGACACGGGGAGCCGGTGCGTGTTGTGGTCAGGCATGTGCACTCCGGGATGCGGTCCCCGTGCGTGTCCTGCTGGCTGGGCACGTGGGTGCTACGTACACCTCCGTGTGCCTCGGTCTCTTGTGTAAACACCTTAGAACAGCCCGTGGCTTGTGGCTGGCGCCCGGTGAGTACCAGCAACCTCCTACGCAGGCGGGACGAAGACGCCCAGACGAAGGAGCCGCCCCCGACATCCACAGGTCCCGGCTGAATGTGAAGCAGAGTCAATATCCGGCCGAGCAGCCTCTGTCCCTCACTGGTGTCTCTTGTCTCGTTTTAATATCACGGCGCTGCCAGTCAAACGACATAAAAGAGTTTGGGGTGATTTGCCGGCTTACTGACGAACTCCCGTCCCGATCTGCCTCCAGGCTGGATGGAACAGACAGTCTTTATTTTTCCATTAATCTTGCTGCCTGTGCATCTCATTTTTAAATTTCATTTTATCAACTTTATTTTTTTTTTGCACTATTGTTTCTGGATAAAAGATTTGCACAATTATTCAGCACATGGACGGAAAGCCCCAGTGTCTTCTCATGGTCACAAGCCACAGCGGGGCTGGTTTCCCACACGCCAGCGAGGAACGCGGGTGTCCGAGCGCCCACCCGCCACCTGTCACTGGGGCTCACGTGCCGCTCTGCGCCCGGCCTCTCCTCTGCTTCAGCCCCTCTGAAGGCTCGTTACCAACAACACCAAAGGCTAAAATCAAGATTCTCATTCAGGTATAAAGTGAACATGTGTCAAAGATTTTTACTTAGCTCATTAACTGAATGACGGAACCGATAAGACGTTGCAGCCAGCTCCAAAGAAAAACCCAAGGACCGTGAATGTGTGTGGAACACAGGACATTGTTCTCCATTGGAGACACTCAGCATAAACTTTTTTGCTTACTCAAAATTTCCTTACAGCCCCCTACCTTTTGCCAAAAATAACCTCAAAGCAAGATTATTCTTCATCACAGAATAAGGCTGGTGTCGCCAGGTTTGGCTTGACCACTTGCACGGGAGTGGCGGGAGTCTCAATGTGCCGTGTGGGCCTTTTTGGGTCTGCTCTGTTGGAAGACTTCACGGTTAGACTTTTAAAAGCCTTTATTATTTGCTACCCTGAGGCTAGGAAACCAGGCACAGAAACTGTTCTGCGGAGTTTACCTGCAGTACTTACAAAGTCGGGTAAACTCCTCTCTTCTCAGGGTCCCCGTGACGTTCGGGGCCCGGCCTGCCAGTGAGCAGAGCCTGTCTTCCCCTCTGCAAGGCTGGGGCCCTGAGAGCCTCCCATTCCCCCCGGGACTGTGTGAGCACAAACTCTGTAGAGTCTCCCCCAGCTCAAGAGCACGCGGTCACACCGGGGTGACAAGCACGCACGGCTCCCGGGAGAGGCCTTGGTTGCGTAAGGCGTCCCCGATTATACCCTGGTGAAAGGAGGACAGGCCCTTATGGGAGCTTGGCAAATAACTGTACTGCCACGAGGAGTAAAGACTTCGGCAGAGTTCTGGATTTGAGGAGGAGGGAGAGCAGACAGATACCACTGATTCATTTCCGTTTACAAAAAATCCGCTGGGTTGTTGAGGGTTACGGCGGCTTGAGAAGAAAGAGAAAGGACTTTCTTGCAGAGCGGGAAAGTCAAAACCAAAAACATCAACAATGCCACAAGCAAGCCCCGTAGTGTCTCCTGTCACCTCACTCTCCTTCCAATGGGTCTTGGCTTGGCAGCCTCAGGAAGCTGTTTCTCAACCAGGGAGGGTTCTGGAAACCCTGGCCAGCCCACTGGACGGGCCTGAGAATGGTCTGAGCGAAGCCATCAGAACTCGTCCCCGGGCCTGTTCTTCGGGGGTCAGCACTGGAGGTGCCTGGTGCGGTCCTTGCCTATGGGACTCTAGGCTGCGTCATCCAAGTCCCCGACTCTGGCCCCGCTGACTGCACAGCCTTCTGGCCAGGTCAGAGTAAACTCGAACCACCTGCAGAGGACAGCTGTCCCCTTTTGGGCCCATATTATAGGAGATAAAAAGTTGAGGTACAAAGGGGTTGAGTGGCTTGCCCAGGGTCCCGGAGCTGGGAGCAGCTGAGGATGCTTCTGGCCCCCTGCCCCTGCCCTGGTCCCACAGTCCTGCGCGGAGGAGCCCTGGGCTGGACACGGGGCACCCTCAGCAAAGTCACTTCCTTTCCCAGCGTGAAGGGGCTGAGACTCCATAGTCGACACCCCGTGCCTTCTCAGGTGCTGCTGGCAGGTGCGCCTCCTCCAGGCCAGCCCCAAGAAGCCCGTGATTTGAGTAGGTCTTGCCGGGCGTGACTGGAGAGAATTTAACCCTGAGATCACCCCCGTGGACTCTGAGGGGCTGGGGCAGGACCCCCGCAGGCCAGGGGTGTCCTTTGTGCACATGAGGACAAGCAGGGGAGAGGATGTCTTTGTGAAGGGACAGGTCCCCTGCCACGGCCACCCAAGGCAGAGCGTGGGGACCACAGGACCCCTGCCTCTTGCAGGACCACCTTCAGCTGGGAGAGACCCCCAGAAAGACATCTTCCAGTGGCGGCTCTTAATCTGTGGAGCCCAGTAAAGACAAAATGCAGATTCCTGGGGCCGGCCCAGACCCGCCGCATGAGAACCCTGAGCTGGGGCCAGAAGTCAGCATTTTCTGACCAGACTCGCACTTCGAGGAACACCTAGCTCCTTAGCAGGGCCCTCTGCAGCCCCCTCCCCCCTTTCCAAAGTCTCTGGGCACAGGAAGAGTGTTCTTGCCTTCCTCCCCCGGGACCTCGCCTTCTGCACCCACCAGTGAGCCCGCGCCGGGCGAGGTGAGCCTCGCAGCGTTCAGAGTGGGAAAGTCAGAACTCGTCCTGTCTCGGGGTGAATGGTCATGACCCCGCCCACCGCGGGCGCAGCCAGAGAGGCCGTGGGGTGGACTGTGACGGGAGCCAGGGCCTGGCTCCCAGCCAGATGAAGGCAAGATGCCCCTGGCAGGGGGTCGGGAGGGGCGGCCACTGCACTGAGGCCGGGAATTAGAGGCGGGAGGGGAAGGGCACCCCAGCGGAGGGAGGTCGGAGCAGTGCGCAGCAGTTGGGGGGTCTATGAGACTGGAGTGAAGGGCCCAGGGCTGGGGGAGCTTGGAGAGGACGCTGGCTAGAACCGCAGAACCCCCGTGCCCAGCCAAGGGGATGGACTTGCCCGCGGTGAGAGGAGGCAGCACAGTTCTGCAAAGAGCCGTGGCACCGTTCGGGGGATGTGCCGGGGAAGGGGCGAGGCCCGAGTGGGGCCGGTGAGGGACTACTGCACCAGTCCGAGCATGACCAGGGTGGAGCCGCGTCAGCAGCCTCAGGATGGAGCAGAAGTTGCAGACGGCAGGAGCCGTGCAGACAAACCACACAGACCACGCGCGACCAGCCGTCACCCTGGTACGGATTCCCGGGGGCAGGACGGCAGGGCGAGAACAAAGCCGCTGCTTTTGTCTTATCGCCGCTAGTTCAGCTGCACACAGGAAATGGCATTAGTCACAGAGAGACTGAGTCTACGGGGGAAGAAATCTGTTTTCTGTATTTCACTGTTTCCAAGTAAAGAAAAAAGCAAACTAATCTTAGCTAAAATAAATAAATAAATAAATGAGGCATCGGGCACCAAAAACTAACCATCCTCTCAGGCCTGCGGCTCCCCCGCCAGGACTGTGCTCACGAGCAGAGAAGGCATCCGCTGCAACCAGCCGGCGCTGTCCAGGGAAACATCTACTGCCATGGAAACGGGTGAGGTGTGGCCTGGGGACCCCGACCTCACTGTGCCAACACCCCCCTTCCTGGAGGGATTTGGAGCTGAGACGCACAGTCAGGACCCCTCAAGCAAAAGATGCAGGTGAACCCGGCGCTGCCTTCACCACGGCTGGGCACGCGGGCCGCGCGCACCGTCATCGGAGCAGTTTGTGTCTCACCGTGGGCGCCGACCACCGCGGCTGGCTTGTGGTCATTTTGATTTCCCCTCTTTGATTGAGTCTTTCAACCTCAAGCCCTCAGCACCCAAATACGAAAAGGCAGTCTTTTTTTAAAGTTAATAAACTTGAATTTGTTTTGTTTTTTTTTTTTACATAACGGTCCCCAGGAGATAACTGGGGAGTCACTGCCATGCTGCCGACATTGTTACGCGCAGGTTGTCAGTCCTGCTTCGCCCGTCGCAAATGATGCGCCACGCGGCGGGGTGTCACCTACCGGCGTGTGGACGTGGGGTTACTTTATTTTTCACAACTCTTTCCACTGAACAAAAGAATAAAGTTTGCCACAACCTGTATAAATCAACCAGTAAAATGATATACGCGTAACATTCCCACGCCCGGGGTTATAGTCTTGCTTTTTAAAAGTAAACCTTCAGGTTGGAGCGAGAGAGGAAGCGGGTGGAATCCGACATCTCCATGGAAACCTGTTGCCCCTTCCTGTGAGCCTCACCGCCGGTCGCTTCTGTTTTGCAGGTGATCTTCAGCAAGTACTGCAACTCCAGCGACATCATGGACCTGTTCTGCATCGCCACGGGCCTGCCCAGGTGAGTGCCTCGCGCCCTTCATCGCACCAGGAAAGGGCAGCGCCGGGAAGGGCACGGGGAGGGGCAGAGGCCCGCTGGGCTCACCTCCACAAGGGCGCTTCCAGATCAGTGGACAAAATCCCGCAGGAAGTCTCCGCCCACTGCCTGCCACGGGCGTAGGCTGTGTCCACGCAGAGGAACCACTGGGCTGAACCAAGCAGAGCTACCCTCTTCGGAGTCTGGGGTTTCTCCTTTTGTTTCTTCATTCATTTTTGGGGAGGAGGATGTTTGGGTTTGGGTTGGTCCTCAGGCCCAAATCATCCAGTAGGGGGCCTTTTCTGTCTCAGGGGGGCTTGCCCCAGGTCTACATTTGGCAAAAGACCGACTTCAGGAGTGAGTTGAAAAGACCAGTAGTCTACCCTATAGAATCATCAGTATTCCCTAACAGTTACTTTCCTAAATCAACAGTTTGTTCAAACGAGTGAATTTTCTAATTATTAGCATTCTAACTTTCCCATCATAGAGCGTGACCAGGAGTAGCTTTGGTTGGGAGTAGCTTTGGCACAGCGAATAGCTTTGGCGTGGAAATTAACTTTAAAGGTAGAGCTGAGGCAGAGAGAGCAATAGAAGTCATTCACAGACAGGCAAGAAAAGGGAGACCCAGAAGATGAAATTACATGCCTGAAATTGCAGCAAATAGCAGTTTGTAGCAGCAAAAATAGCCCATAGTTTGAGGCATCTTTGGGTGCACATATTAGGCACCACGCTAAGAAATATATGCACATTGTTTTTTATAACAACCCCAGGACTCAGGTATCACCTCCATTGCACAGATTTTTAAAATTCACAACTGAAGATCAGAGAGCTTAAGTAACTTTGTTGAGGTAACACAGCTCATAAGAGCCCCCAAAAGATGAGAAGTTGGAGGAAGACTCACCGTAACCATTTAAAACCGTCTCGTAGGAAAAATGTGCGGTCTAGATGGACGCCCAGAGGAACTGGAAGTAAAGAGGCAAACTGCAGATTCATCATCTGCTGATACAAATGTTAGTTCCTATTTTACCACAGTTTTTTTAAATCTCCCAACTCAGTAAATTCGACTTGCTCCAATTCCTGTTTTAAATTATGTAAAAACCTGCAAGCACTTAGAATTACACATGGCCGTTTAATTTCATTTGCAAATGGAATGTCAATGGCTGGAGGACGACCTCCCAGCTTCCTGTCCTTCCCGCCCAGGGACCCGGGGCCAGATGGGCCCCTCGACTGTGTTCTTGCTCTTTCGGGCTCGAGCCTCGCGTGAGGCCCAAGTCCAAGTGTGCACCCCAGAGCACATTTTGGGTGAAAACAGACCTGGGTGTGTTTTTCAGGAACACGACCATCTCCCTGCTGACCACAGACGACGCCATGGTCTCCATCGACCCCACCATGCCGGCAAATTCGGAACGGTAAGGGCTCCGCCAGCGCCATCGGCTTGTTCTTCTCGGGCGTGTGTGACGCTTCTCTGCGTGACACGAGAGGGTTTCTGTGATTTCCTCTAAATATACTGCTACGGGAAAGTCTGAATCCCAAGCAGAGACGGCGGGGCGGGGGCAGGGGGGAGTATGCAGGAGGCTTGACTGGGCTCATCCTTGGCGGAAGAGTTAGTCGCTTTCCAAGATGACAGTCATGGCAGGCACGGCTCTACGTTCACACCAGGAACCCTCTGAGGAGGCGTACAGAGGGGGAAGCTGAGGCAGGGAGGCAAGAAGAGCAGCAGAGCCAGGCCCCGGAACCCCTGTCTCAACCTCGGGAAGGGCTGCGGGAGACAGCCCGGCCACAGTCTCTGTGGACAGTTATCATTTACCCATTTAGAGCCAGTCCCCATGTCCCTAAAGTGGCGCGTGCGGGAGGATTCCGTGCGCAGAAGGCGGGAGAGGCTGGGGACACAGGAGAGGGACTGGGGCAGGCCTAGAAAGACCGGCGGGGTTGGCTGGAAATGCACTTGGGAGCGTATGTGACATAGGGAGGGGAAGGACACCGCCCGGGGCCCCTCCAGTCGGTGGCCTGCCCTGTGCCAGGTGGCCTGGAGAGTCCCCAGCCATCTCCACTTCTATTTGCGGTTGGGAGAGGCGGGGTTTAAGTTGCATTCTTGTGAGGCGGTGAGCAGGCACGTCATCAGGCACGGGGAGCCCCTGGGGACCCTCTCTGTCGTCCTCTGCTGATTATCCCCCGAGGGACTCCGTAGCTGCTCCGCGTCATCGGGGTGCTCTGCCCAACTGACCGCGGCCAGCTCTGCACCCACAGCAAGAAGCACGTGCCGGGCAGACCCTCATGCGTCCCCTGGCTGCCTGATATTTGGGCTCCACTGATGGCGTGGCCTGGGACCCCCACTTAGGCCCCCAGGGGGTCCCCCCAGGTGTGTGCGCACCTGAGCACCCAGGATGCACCTTCTCTCCTTGCTCCTGCCCCCAGAACTCTGCTGTCCCGGTCAGCGAGGTCCTAGTGGACTGTGGCCGGCACCGTCTGGATCGGTTGTCTTCCCTGTCACCTTGAGGCCCTGACCAGGCCTCGTCCCCGGCCAGCTATGCCCCTCGGCCTCCCCTCCTGTCCTCAGCTGGGGGCCGTCTCCTGCCCCGCACCCTCCAGCTCTGATTCTCAGCTCCCCCGAAGGCACTGTGCTAATTGGCTCCCCAAAGACTCCACGAGGGTCTTGTAAATCTCAGCGCCAGCTACGGCACTGCTGGATCTCGCTTCAGAAGGCCAGTCCCCAAGTGGTCTGTCACCCCTGACACCCACAAACTGAAGTGACCTCGTCAGAGGGCGTTTCACGCAGACCAGCGCCTGGTCAGTGCAAGCCGGGTCTCTGATGGAGGGAAGCTGCATTGTTTTTCCTGAACTCAGTGAAAACAAGTCTGTGCGCAGAGGTGTCGGACGGGGCAGGTACAGCATAGCTCACCTGGGCCCCAGGTGCCTCGTTAACAAGAGGAAGCTTCAGACTCACCAGACAAAAGCCCTCCGAGACCAAAGAGCCCACATGTCTGAAATGCTCTCTCGTGAGATAAAATAAATGCCTGTCTGAGACCGAGACGGAGACAGACAGATGGAGATGCTGCGGGCACAGCCGTGCCACTGGGCATGGACAGAGACAGAGTGGCCGTGGGTGCAGATAATACGCGTGGAGACAGATACGACAGGAGAAAGGAATAAACTCATTGCAAAGCTGATGGTGACAGGGCAGCGTGTGCCGAGATGTGGATGTGGTCCCCACGTCCTCCTGCACCGCCATGTCATTTGTCCCCTCTTCCGTTTCCTCTGCCACCCCTGCGTCCAGCCTGCCTCTCCCACCAGCTGCCAGGTTCACCTTGGTCAGACACCGCCTTCTCCATGGTGACCTCGTGACCTCTGCCCCGCCGACTTCTCGAGCTTGTCCCATGCCCCACCGCCAGGCTCAGCCCCCCGGGGTCCTGCTTCCTCCCTCGGTGCACACCTCAGTCTGAAACGGCCTAGTTTGCTTATTTGCTATTTTCACTGCTGTCTGCCCCCCTGGACTGGAATCTCTGTCGGGGAAATCTGGCCTTGTCCCCTGCTTGACGGCCAGCTCCTGCCGGAGGTGACACGTGACAGTGTTCAGTCACAGTGGGCTGGATGAATACAGGGGGAATCGGTGAGTTCAGCTCACATCCGTCTCCTCCTCTCTCTCCTGCCCAGAGCGAGAAGCGTCTAAACTGTTCATGGTACATCACGTCATCACGTCTGGCTTGCTGCTTTATTCTGTGCCCATGGTTCTCAGCCAGGGGCAATTTTGTTCCTCAGGGGACACTGGGCAGTGTCCAGAGACAATTCTCGTTGTCACAAAGGGAAGGGGGTGCTGCTGGCATCTGGTGGGTCGAGACCAGGGGTGCTGCTCAGTCCATGGGATGCCCCCACAAACTCACCTGGCCTGGGGTGTCAGTGGCTCACCTGGCCCAGGGTATCAGTGGCTCACCTGGCCTGGGGTGTCAGTGGCTCACCTGGCCCGGGGTGTCAGTGGCTCACCTGGCCTGGGGTGTCAGTAGCTCACCTGGCCCAGGGTGTCAGTGGCTCACCTGGCCCGGGGTGTCAGTGGCTCACCTGGCCTGGGGTGTCAGTGGCTCACCTCGCCTGGGGTGTCAGTGGTGCTGCAGATGAGAACCTGCCTTATGTGGTCTTCTCCCACTTTCTCTTTAGCTATGGCCAACCAGACTGGGCAACATAAAGAGACTTCATGTCTACAAAAAAACAGAAAAATTAGCCGGGCGTGGTGGTGTGCACCTGTAGTCCCACCTACTGGGAGGCCGAGGCAGGAGAATCACTCCAGCCCAGGAGTTCGAGCCCACAGTGAGCTGTGTTGACACCACTGCACTCCAGCCTGGGAGACAGAGCAAGACCCTGTCTAAAAGAAAAAAACATAAAAAACAACTTTTAGAGAAAGACAAATACAATGAAAAGTCAAGGCCAGTTTCTCCCTTCCACAGAGGGACGGTTTATGTTAATTCTGTGGTCGAGGAGGACGATGAAGATTCGACTCGATTTAGACTGAGTAGCCAAGAGTTTATTCCATCACGGGAGCAGCGTGGCCGGTTCTGAGAACATCGCTGCTGTTGGAGTCAAGAGGGTTAGGGAACTGGGAGCCAGGACTAATCTTGCGTGGCCAAGAAATGCAGCCAGGGATCTGGAGCCCAAGAGCCCAGAAGGTTCTGCAGCCGCCTGGAGCGTTCACACAGGCTCAGTGTCCAGTCCCACAGCCGCTTGGCCTCTGTTGCCCACGTGGCGGCTCCCGACCCCCACTCAGCAGCCCCGTGCAGAGGCTGCCTCCGTGTGCCTCCAGGCAGAAGGGGCTGGGGGCTCCGTCCAGGTGCACGGGCAGGCCCAGGAGCCCGGCGGCAACGGAGGCCTCTTGGTGCCCCTGTCATGTGTCAAGCCCACAGGGCATCCTCCCTGGCGTCTCTTACGTGGGAGAAGTTGCTGGACACCCCTCTCCTGCTCTGTGCCCACCTGCAGCCGGGCGGGGTCCAACCTGTCCTTGGACGTGGACGTCAGTTCCACGAGGGCAGGGGCATTTTGGTCTTGTTCACAGTCGTATCACCAGCACCGGACTGCGGGGCGCACAGTGAAAATCGGGTAGAATTGCCATGAACGACATGAACCTGTATTTTATTTTGATACATTCGTTCCCAAGTTCATTCGCTGAGACCGGGGGTTACCTCTTGGAATTTTAATGGGGTTGCCGGACTGCTCTCCCCGGGGTGGCAGCGGCCCAGGCCCCACCAGCCACACCTGTGAGCCTTTCCCTGCATCCTTGCAGCCTCCTTTTACCGGCTTTCAGAATTTGGCTGCACCGCTGGGTAAAAGAATAACCTCTCTCTCGAGGTGAGCCCCTCTTGCGCTGCGCCCCCGGGCCATTGCCCAGTCCCGCTCTTTGCCCGTTGCCCGCTGGCGAAGTCATCTTTTCCTGCCAGAGGCCCTTGTGTGTAGCGTGGGCAACCGTTTGTCTGCCGTAAGCATTGCCAGCGTCCTCCCCACCCACCCGGGGTCTTGGGATTACTGGGGGTGACATTGCTGAGACCCTGGTGGCTTTTTGACTTGTTGATCTGGGGGTACAGCCGCCGTGACCCAACAGAGCCAAAGAGAGGAGCCCTCCGCACCTGCGGGCGCGAGGGGGGCGGGGGGGGCGCAGGCGGTTCCGGCGGCTCTGCCCTTCCCAGCTCTGGGCAGCACTTCGGCAGCAGTGCCAATGACGAAACGTGTTTCATTGCCCAAATGTGAGCATTACAGAGGAAGTTATCGCTTAAATGATATATTTAAAATTCATCTCAGTGAAGAAACTCAGAACAGCCAACGAAACTAATTTCAAAACAAACCAAAAAAAGCCTAATCCACTGAATTCTAATTCACGCCGGGATTTATCTCTCACGCCAGACGGCAGGCCTGACAGCACTGTCTTCTCTCTTGCAGCACTCCCTACAAAGTGAGACCCGTGGCCATCAAGCAACTCTCTGGTAAGGTGCTGCGGTCGTTTCTTAAATTAAAAAGAAAAGAAGAATGACTGAGCCTGCCCTGCGATTAAATACGTAGTAGTTAAATGTTTGAATCTACAGCCCGATACCATTAGAGTCTGAAACGTTGTGTGTACCACTGCAGAGGCTCTGCCCACGACAGCCCTCTGGGACACCCCCGAGTCCCTGAGGACTTAGCAGATGCCAGGCGACACTCCACTCTGTCTTCCCAGCCCACGCCTGTGCCCCCCGCCGTGGCTGCCAGGCCCGGCCATCTGCAGCCCGCGCAGCCAGTCATGGCGTTGTGTTAGAATTCCTTTCCTTGTGGGTTTCATATCACTTTTATTTATGTATGATTCGTGCATAACAAAATGATCCCATTTAAGTGCCTATTTTGATGAGTTTTAAAACATTTCTACACCCTTGTAACCATCACCAACATCATGAGACAGCATTTACACCACCTGGAAAGTTCTCTCATGCCTCCCAGGTTTTCTCTGTCCACGGCCGACCTGCTTTCTGACACCACCCGCCAGATTTGTCTCTCTGAGAGTTTCATAGGAAAGAAATTATATGGTGTGTGTGTTCTTTTTTGACTAGACATAACGTTTCTGGGATCCACCCATGTTGTGTGTATACATAGTTCATTCCTTTTTATCGTGGTTCAGTTTTTGTTGAAATTACCCTAGTGAGTTTTCCGTTCACTTGTGGGTGGACGTTTGGGTTGTTTCCAGTTTGGGGGCTTTTATAAATAAGGCTGCTCTGGGCATTAAAGTACAAGTCTTTGTGGGGGTGACGTAGTCTCATATATTTTATTTTACTTGGATAAATGCCTATAGACCTAAGACACCCAAGACCTTGCCAAGTTTTTTATGAAGTCAAACATATACTTAACCGTCTTCCCTAAGAGTGGGATGGAAGAGCCTGTAGGATGTGCCCCCAATCTGGGTGTGTTTGACATTTTCCTCATGATCAGCCTGGACATGTGGGTTTTTGGAAGGAGCATGTGTGTGATGTCCACGTGGCATCGGTGGCTTCTCCATGGGAGAGTCACTGTTCACCCCCTAACTTATTCTTCTCTGGAAGCAAGTCACTGAGTCTAGCCCACCTAAGCGGGGAGAAAGAATCGAGGCTCTTTTCTACATACGGATATCCATTTGCTCCAGCACCGTTTGTTGAAAGATAGTCCTCTTCTCCCACTGAATTTCCATGACACCTTGGTCCAAAATCAATGGGCCATTTATATGTGAGTCCTTCTCTGGGCGTCATGTCCTATGCCATTAATGTATATGTCTGTCCTTAAACCAACAGCACACTGTCTGGATTACGGTATATTGATAGTAGGTCAGTCAGGTAGTGTAAGTTCTCTGGTTTCTTTCTTCTTTTTCAAAAATGCTATTCCTTTTATTTTCAAATAAATTTTAGAATCAGTCTGTCAGTTGATACCAGTTTAAAAAAAAGTCTGTTAGGATTTCGATTGAAATTACATTAAATATACAGAAAAATGTGGGAAGAATTAATATCTTCATAATGTTGAGTCTTCTAATTCATGAATATGGTATACCTCTCCATACACTGGGGTCTCCTTCAATGTCTCTCAGTGATGTGTTCTAGGTGTCAGTGTAAAGGTCTTGAATATGTGTTGATAAATCCATCGTTAAGTATTTCAGATTTTTAATGCTATTGTCCATGGATTTTTTCAAATTTCAATTTGCAGTAGTTTTAGTTCATAGAAATTGGCTTTAGTGTATTGACCTTGCTAAACTCATTTATTGGGTCTAGTACCTTTTTGTAGATTTCCTATGATTCTGTAGATGATTTTCTACATCTTCCAATAAAGAATTGCTTCCTCCATCTAAATCCAGACACCTTTTCTTGCTTCTAGTTCCTTTCCTTGCCTGTTGTACCGGCTAGGATGTCCACTGCAGTAGAGGAATAGGTGTGAGGTGGAGATCATTGCTTTGTTCTTAATTGTAGGAAAAATGTGAGAAGTCTTTTCACCATCAGTTATGACGTTAGCTGTAGCTTTTTTAATGGATGCTCTTAATCAGGTTAAGGGGGTTTTGTTTGCTTGTTTATTCCATTTCTAGTTTGTTGAAAGTTTTAGTCATAAATTGGTGTTGAATTTTGTGAAATGCTTTTCTATCTCTGTTGAGATGATCATGTTTTCTCTATTCTGTTAATAGTGAATTATACTGATTAATTTTAAACCAGTAAACTAACCTTGCATTCCTGTTATAAACTCCATTTGGTCATGGCATATTATTTTATCTTTTTGTTTTGGATTCAATTTGCAAATAATTTTGCACCTGTGTTAATGAGGGATAATGTTCCATAGTTTCCATTTCTTATAATATGTTCATCTGGTTTTGATATGAGGGTAATGGTGGCCTCACAAAATGAGTGGAGAAATGTTCCCTCCTTCCCTATTTTCTGGGACAATTTGTGTAGGATTGGCATTATTTCTTCCTTAAATGTTTGGTGGAATTCACCACTGAATCCATCTGGGCCTGAAGTTTGTTTGTGGGCAGATTTTTAATTATGAGTTTAGTTTCTTTACTAGATAAGAATACTCCGGTTTTGTATTTCTTTGAGGATTAATTTCAGGAAGTCGTGTTCATTTCATCCAGGTTTCACCTAAGAACTTATTGGCGTGGTGGAGTCTGAAATATGTCTTTGCCGTCCTTTTTGTCTGTGGAGTTTAGGGAATCCTCCCTTTCATTCGGGATATTAGTAATTTGCACCTTCTCCCTTTTAAGTTAATCTGTCTAATTAGAGATTTATAGATTTGATTGATCACCTTTGGGTTTCTTTGGTTTCCTCCATTGTCTGTTTCCTGTTTCGTTGATTTCTCCTCTGCTTTGGTTCTCCCTCCTTCTCTCTCCAGGTTTGATTTACTCTTATGGCTTCTAAAGGTAGAAGTTCAGATCGTTGATTTTAGACCTTTTTATATATAACAATTTAAAGCTAAAGATTTCCCTGTAAGCATACTTGTATCCCATTCATTTTCACATGTTGTATTTTCATTTTCCTTCTGCTCAATATATTTTCTAATTTACCCTGTGGTTCCTTCCCTGACCCAGTTTTTATTTAGAAGTGTATGATTTAATTCCCAAATGTCTGGATATTTTCCAGGTGTCTTTCTCTGTTATTGATTTCTAAGTTGATTCCGTTAGGATCAAAAACAGACTCTATTATTACCGTCTTTTTAAATTTATCAAGGTAACATGGTTCATCTTGGTGACTGTTCCACGTACACATGAAAGAATGTGTATTTTGCTATTACTGGGTGGAATATTCTGTAATTGTTGTTTAGGTCAAGTTAGTTGACAGTGTAGTTCAAGTTTTTTGTATCTTATTTTTTGTCTACTTGTTCTAGCACTTACTGAGAAATGGATATTAAAATATGCAGCTGTAATTGTGGATTTGTTGATTTCTTTTCTCGGCTCTGTCTGTTCTTGCTCCATGCATTTTCAATTTCTGTTATTAAGTGCATACTGATTTAGGATCGCTAAACCTTCTTGATGGATTAACCCCTTTATTCTTACGAAAATTTATCTTTGATGCTATTCCTTGTTTTGAAGCGTTCTTTCTGCATCTCATATTAACTCCAGCCCTCTCATCCTTAGCACTCGCACGTCATGTCCCTTGTCCTTCTGTAAATGTACGTATGTCTTTACAGTTGAAGTGCATTTCTTATAGGCAGCAATTATCAATTTGGGCCATTTCAGCCTTTTAATTGACATTTTCAAACCATTTACATTAAATGCAAATATAGACATGGTTGGGTTTTAATCTGCTATCTTGCTATTCATTTTCTATTTATCCTTTTTAGGTTCTTTTCTCTTTTCCTGCGTCTTTCGGATACTGAGCATTTTTCAGTTTAATATTTTTTGTCCACTCTTGGTTTGTGAGCTATACTTCTTTGTTTTATTTCTTTGTGGTTGTTCTTGGTTTTACAATTCGTATCATGAACTTAGCACCATCTGCCTTTAATCACATCCCAGCCCGTCGCTGAGACATGAGACGCAGCAGAGTACTTCCGTCTCTCCCGTCTCACGCTCTGCGCTTCATGTCATACGTTTCACTTCTACGCGCGTTCGAAACCCCACAATACACCGTTGCTGCGCGTTGCTTGCAACGGTCAATTATATTTTTTGTTTCATTTCTTTGTGTAGATCCAGGTTTGCACCTGGTGCCATTTTCTTTCTTCCTTTTGAACTTCTCTTAACATTTCTCATATTGCTGGTCCTCTGACAACAAATTTGTCTTAAAAAGTTTTTATTTCACCTTCGTTCTGGAGGGGCATTTTCTTGCCATAGAGAATGTTAGTTTGACGGGTTTTCAGTACTCTCAGTGGGTCTTTCCGTTGACTTTTGGCTGGAACAGCGCCTGGTGAGCATCAGTCTGCGCTGGGCCATGTCCTTGTTTCTGTCTGCAATGTGTCCCTTGCCCAGATTGCTCAGATATTCCCTTTGTCACTGGCTTTCAGGGGCAGGTCACGGTGGCCTTGGTGTGGTTTTCTTTCTGCTTAGCCTGCTCAGGGTTCATGGACCTTCTTGGACCTTTAGGTTCACATTTTTCATCAAATTCGGAAGTTTTCTATGCCCTGCTCTCTTCCCTCTCCTTAGGACCCTAATTACCTGAGTGGTGTCCCCAGACTCGCTAGGGCTCTGTTCATATTTTTTCTCTGTTGCTTGATTTTTCTTAGACGTTTTTGTTCTATCTTCAGTGCCATTGGTCTTCCCTTCCACGTTGCCTAGTCTGCGTTAATCTCACTGAGTGAAATTTTCATTTCAGGCATTGCATTTTTCATCCTTAGGAATTCCATTTTGCTCTTTTTTTATATCTTCCATGTTTATATCTTCCATTTATCTCCTCATCGCGTTCAGAGGTCGGCTTCGAAGGTCGTTGTAAGGACTCCAGCTCTGTGCCGAGCGATACGGGAGCTGTGAGCAGGCTCTGAGCAGAGAAGTGACGTCACCAGGTTATATTTGTAAACC